AGCTTCAGTTCAAATTTGGGCTCTAGTATGGAATTGCTGGGTAGCCTCAGACAAGTTACTCAACTGTTAAGTAACTCAGATATCAAATCCCCCACTTGAGAGGGTTGTTGTTTGAGTAAAATGGGAAATCCATCAGGAAGGTAAAGGTGGGTTTGGAAAGAGCTCTAGTGGTTGAGTTTTAAGCAGGGAAAATGTCTAGACTATTGCCAATAATAAACAGACTTCCAAAAGCAAGGGAAAGTAATCAAAAAAATTGAATTTTCCAAGGAGAGACACCATTTGCTTAGAATAAACTACTGTTGTTTGATTTTTTTTGTAGCCCAAAGTCCAAAATTTAAAGCATTTTCAATCCCTTTTGATCTACTCCATTTATTTGGCAAATTTTATTATTCTACTAGGCACAATACCATGTGCTTACAACAGGTTATAAAGTTGAAAACAGTAATACCCACCCCAAGGAACTCATTGTGTACCACTGAGCACAAGCAAATAAGTGATTACAGCAAGGGATCTAAGAGTGGTACCTGCAGATGCTGGATGGAGAGCAATTAAGCAAAACCTCTCAGAGGTAATCTTGAAGTAAACATTCCATGGCAGACACAGCATCATCATCATTGTAGTCACCATACGTTAGCACTAATGACAACAGTTAACATTACCCAATGCTTATTTTATGCCAGATGCCATGTGAAGCACTTTTCATGCATTATGTCCTGTTACTGCTGTATGCAGTACAGTACTATGCTTTACTGACTTGTGTGTGCACTATCTGTCCAGGGCTGGCTGTAAGTTCCATGCCCAATTGGTGAGTTACAATTTTTGCCAGAACATTGATCTTACCACTCTTGCTGTCTTAATAATATTGGAATTGAAGAACTGGAGTTAACTACATTTATGTTTTGGCTGGATTGTTGACATAAGTGGATTTCCTTTCCCTTCTCCACTGGTACTATTTTCCCCAGAGTCCTGTACAGAAACAGAACTCACATAGAGAGGAAGGACCTAAGAATCTTGGGTTTATGACAGCATTTTGTCCTTATAAGTGCAGTGCCATAAGCCAATAAAGTCTGATGTCCAGATAAAAGCATCAGTTGGAAAGTTACGTACAAAGTTGGCTTAAGAAGCGAAAGTTGGATTGTAATTAGTTCTAGTCTTAGGACTTGTTCTTGTGCAAGTCTACCATGGGGAGCTCTACCTCAAAGCCCAGCAAATCAATAGTTCCCCAGTGTTTGCAGAAGCAAAATTAACTTCTTTGGCAAGATCACTGCCAATGTGTCTCTGCCTTCCCCTCTAACTGAACAAACCCTTATTCATGTGCTCAATCCACTTTACATCCTCAGGCTGTGTCTTACCTCAGCACCTTTGTGCAGCGGTTCCCTTGGCCCCAAATGTCTTTTCCCTTCCTTATCACTCATTTATCCCAAATTTAGTACATGTCTCATGAAGTCACCATTGTCAGGAAGCTTGTCCATATTTGTTAAAGCCCACTGTATTGCTCCCCCAACGCTGACCCTTCCTCCTTTTATAGATCTCTGCCTAGAAGACTTTGGGCTCACTGTGGCCAGAGACTGCAGCTAGTTCATGTTACAACTCCAGCTTTTAAAAGTTCTTAGAGAAGTACTCATCAATTGGATGGGAATAGATTAAATGGGATCCTTGCAGGTGGTAACTGAGGCTTCAATTTCTGATGCCTTTGTTAGTTTTCATTACTACTGGAGTGGTCATTCTCTACATATGATCTACTTTTGTTTCCTTTGCCCTTACTGATCACACTTCTAGACATTGGGAACATGGCTTTGACACTAATTAAAATTGATGACTGAGCATGACACCTCCATTTGCTAATACAGCACAAATTTATTCATTGTGTTTTGTACTTATAACCAGTATCTTCTCAGCCCTGGCACAAATCTGTGGTCTTTCCACAAGGAGGCCTTTTGTTCCTTTTATGTCTAGATTCATCACATATTACAGAGAGTGTTAGCTGAGTAAGGCTTTTGCTTCATGAAAGTGTCACCAAATGTACCATAAGGAAGAAAGCACCAGATGTCTGTTTGCAGGGAAAGCAAAATTCTGGCTTATGAAGAGTCAGGGAGTCAGAGCTCCCCAAACATTTCCAGGCCAACAGTTTGGCTCAGCACTCTACTTGGGGTCTCAGACCTAATCCCCACATTCCATTTCAATCACTGTTCAGGAAAAACCTTGTCAACTTTACTGCTGCTCTGAGACCTGGACACTGTTGTCTGCCAGATTTCTCAGATTCATGTTGAAAATTAAGACAAAGTCGCTAGATAACTTTGACACAAATAACAGATATGTGTGTGTGCCATTCCCTAAACAACTTATTTTTAAACCACCTTAGTGAGCTGTGATCAACATAAAAAAACTGGTATTTAGAATAAATAAACTTAGGGCTGGAAAGTAGCTCATTGATAAAGCACTTTCCTAGCATACACAAGGCCGTGGATTCAATTCCCAGCACCCCCCCACACACACCAAAAAAGAAACCTTTCATGACTTTGGAGATGACTAAATAGCCATGAAATCATCCCCACAATCTGTGCCATAAACCTGTCCATCACCTTCACAAATTTTCTCACACTTTCTTTATTCATTTACTATTATTTTGGATCAACAGATTTTTCTCTTCCTTTGAGCTATCTGAACTGTCTCAAATAGTGAATAATTGTCAGTGAAGCAGATAAGTCAGAGTTAGGAGCTATATAAACTTACTGAAATTTGATAAAAGTAATATTCTAGTGCTCAGCTTGGGGCAAAGTGTAATGAAACAAAATATACTTTGATTTGAAACAAGCAATTGGTGACAGTGGTGGAAATTGTTCAAGATATTAATGATGATAATGAAGACAGGGTATTAAGGCAGCAAGTAGACTTAAAGACAATTTTGCTTAAAAAAATTAAAATCAGTGCTTAAAATCATTATTTGCTCCAAGAATATTTGTATTCTGTTTGCTTTTTTCATAATTCGTTATTGTTATAAGGAGTAAATGAGCTTCTACAGATGAAAATATTATTAAAATTTCTAAAGAAAATAAAAAGGAGTTCTTTCAACACTGATAGTCATAAAATTTGAAATGTTGTAATGACTTTAAAGTATTGATTTCTCCCAAACTCCAAAGCCTTACTTTAGAAAAGTACACTCAGACTGAATTTAGAAATGCTACACCCAGACTGAAAAGTCCTAGAAGGATTAAAATTCTAAATGTTTAATAAAAAGGACCTTAGGTTCATCTACTGGGTTTTATATTATGCATAACAGACCAAAATTGCTGCTTCCTGCCAATTATCTAACTGGGAGGAGTTCATGAAAATGTACATAGCAAGTGGTTCAAGGGCAGGTGGACTGGACTTACCAGCTCTGAAATTCAAAGGGATGGACTGGACAGTCCATCTTCATTTTTTTTCTCTTCTTTGTTTTATATCAGAGAAATTGCCCGGCATGTGGGCTTCTATTCAGGACTGAAACAAACTTAACAATGATCTGAGAGGATATAAAACAGTTTCTCTGATTATGTGCTTACAACACAGAATACTTCTGAGACATCTGGTCACCGAGATATAGAGCAGGGGAAGGTGGAGTGGAATTGGTAACTATACCAATTCGCTCATGACCTACTTGCAGAGAGTGTCAGGTCCCCATGTTTGAGAGCCACAAACTTGCTAACGTTAGATACCAATCAAAAGTAATAACTTATCACCTATAATTATAAATTTGATTAGCTAAAAGTTGGAGTTCCCGTGACTTCTTCCTTAGATTTGATTAATTTACCAAGACAGCTCACAGAAGTCAGGGAACCACTTATTTGTGTTCACCGGTTTATTTTCAAGAATGTTACAAAGAATGCATACGAAGTGATGTTGTATAAGTCGGCTTTCTGCTACTGTAACAAATACCTGAAATAATCAACTTATGAAGAGAAAAGATTTATCTTGACTCAGTTTTGGATGTTTCTGCCATGATTTGTTGGCCCTGTTGCTTCTGAGCCTATAATGAGGCAGCACTTCATGGTGGTAGCATTTGGCAAAACCTCAACTCATGAATGGTACATGAAAAAGAAGAGGCTGGGCTCCCGCTATCCCCTCCAAGGGCATACCCCCAATGACTGGAAGACCTCCCATCTAGGCCTCATCTCTTAAGTTTCCACCATCTCCCAATAGTGCCATGCCAAGGATCAAACCTTTAACACATGGGCTTTTGGGAGCACTCCAGATCCAAACTATAGAAATGGGTAGAGTGAGGTAGGGGCAGATTAGCTTCCATGACCTCTATGCATAGTCTATGTCTTCCAGATATTCTGCTAACTAAAAGCTCTCAGAACCCAGACCTTTGGAGTTTTATGGGAACTTTATTACCAAAGCAAGATTGATTGAATCACTGGCCATTAGTGAGACTGGAGTTTTAGACCCAAGGCCCAAACTCCTGAGATTCCATATGCCAAATCCTGCCACCAGCCCCTAAATGCCAAGTAAAGAGGCATGGTAAAAGGCAATAAAAGGAGATTTATTACACAGCTAAGATATGCTGTGGGAAGAAACGGAATAAGCACTCAGCTCATCTTTAGCCATCTTTAGGGTACAGACATGAGTTACAGGTTTAAGTAGACAAAAGAACTGGGGGCAGCAGACGAAGGTATACATAGTTTAACCATCACACTCACAGGTTTGTTCTGGTTGACCATTATCTCAGTCTTTGTTTTGGGAGAGGTTCTGGAGTTGATATCTGGATTCATTGTCAACTGCCAGGTGGTCCATCTCAAGGAAGATCTACTGTTGAGAGTAGTTTCTGTCCCTTGTTATGAAGACATTATCATCATTCCTGTCCTTCCTTGATTCTAACATGGTTGCAAAGTGACTGCAGAGAGAATGGCTTAGAGCAAAGACAGATACAAAAATGGAGGACAGATGCCATGCTTTTCTCTTGCTAATAGTTAAGTCATGGGCCTGAGTGAGGAGTCAGTGCTTTTTAGCAAAAGCAGTTTGAGTACCTCTTACATTAGTAATTAATTTACCTTTTAGTCCCTCTTTCCTCCCCATAGGTTGGGGGTAGGGAGTAAGACTGAAACATTCCAATTCTCTAATCATACTTTGCTTTATCCTATGGCAGCCCCCATCCTGAGGGAGGGAGCCCATAGCCGCAGCCAATTGAAATTCCAAATGTCTTAAAAGCTTATAAGTCAGGAAACATCAGGAAAACCAAATATATATTTCACAGCATCACGTGTAGCTTCACTGGCTTTGAGGTAAAACTCAATTCCTGCCATGGACCTAGATAATACTTCTCCACGAAGAATAAGCAAGATATAACAGGATCTGATCTGGCCATCCTGGAGAAACACTTCTCCACCAAAATCAGACAATAGTTTCATACTTCAGTAGCTGAGATGTTTTCAACTGAACCCAAGTAGAATGGTGACTACATTGGTCATTTTCCATTTTTGTATGTTTTTCATGCCACCTATTACTAGTGCCAATGAAATTATGCCTGCTTTTACCATAGATGGCTTACCCTTATTCTTTTCCCACTTCCAAGATTATCCACATTTATTTCTATTATTTTTAAAAGTAAAATTTTTAACTGAACTGGTTTTTCCTATTCTCTTTTTAAAAAAAATTTGTGTTCCACCTCATTTTCAGAAGCAAGACTCGTGTTTGGATTCAAATGACAAAAGAAGACATTTTTTTCATTGACCCCCTACTTTGTCTAGGCATGAGACCAGAGGTAATGAAAATGAGAAGGATTACATTTACTCAGATTTTTATGAGATTGTTTTAGTGGATAGGTGCAATTTTTATTTTTAAAATTGGCATTATTTATAAAATGGAGGTCATATTTTATCATCTGAAAATGATGCTATAACAGGGTCACATCAGATAAATTTTTTACAAGATGACTAATGCTTTTCTTTTCTTTGTGTTGCAGCTACACCAGCAACACTTGACAGAACATCCCAGATTCTGCAAAGAATTAATCCAAACCTGGGGACAAGTAAGAATTCTGTCCTTTTACTACATCCAGTGATGTTTTCCATGTGTTAGTGTACTTCAAACTACTATCCTTTCTCTATTTTATTTGGGATATTGGTAACTGGAAAAGTGACTGGATTAAAGTTTAATAAGCAAACAGAAACATTTTTTCAGGATTTATTTTTCAACTTCTCTAGAAGCTATTTCTCTATCTTTCTATTTTGCTTATGCTTAGAAATTAAGTAATGTCAAGTGAATGGAGAAAAAAAGAAGAAATGACTTGTGGATCACCAGTTATATGGTAAATCTAGGAAGTGGTCTCTTTTTATGAGTCTTTTTGAACATTATTATTATTACTTTGTTGTATATATCTAATGATTACATTGGCAGGAGGTCAAACCCATCTCTCTAATCAAAATTCTACCTTCCTGTAAGTTGTGTCTTCTCTCTTAAATGATGTTACACAACCCCATCTGGTGTTTGACAGTCTCCTCTTTGTCCACCAGACTGAACTCAAACATCAGCTCATGGGAAAATTTCCCCAAATCCTCTAGGCCCAGGGAATATTTCTGCCTTCCATGCTCCACTGAACATTATCCATTGATGCACGATTACATTTACCTGTTTGCATTTTAGTGTGTATGTTAATACTTGTGCATAGAACTCACTAGATTGTGTCAGCTGCATGAGTGAGTTAATTGTATTAAACTTTAAGTCAAAGCCCACAGTTTATGCTTTTTCAAATCCTAAACATTACTTAAAAATTCCTGATCTCACAGTAGGTGCCTGTTTAATTAAACTCTGGGGATGGCTTTTTTTTTTCTTCATCAGTCGAAGTATATGCCAGAGTCTATATTGTGCCATAAAGGAAGTGAAGACAATGTACCTAATTGAATTTATTTGTATTTGTTGACAATTCTTGTGTCATAATTTTGATTTTATGACTAAATTGCAGAGTAAATTTCTAATGTGAGGTTTAAACATCATTGTATTGGAGGTGACCCAAAATGGGGATTGATGTTATTTTTAACAAATATTATCCATTTGTCATTCGTGCCAGACCACAAACTCTTTCCAACCCTCCTGTTTTAGAAGTACTTGGTATGTTAATCTGCTTCCTAACTAACAGAGAGTTGTAAAGAAATGGCTGCTATTTGGTTATGTTAGTGCTACCCAGCTAGTATTTCCAAGTCCCTCATTTAACAGATGATATGACTGTGTTGGTGGAATCAGTTAAGCATGTCTTACTAACAGTGTATGATTCACATATGCATAATACATTCCACATAAAGCACTTCCTCTGTTTTTCCCTTGAGTGGCAGTATGATTTCTCCAAGGCATTCTTTTGTCAAGCCACAGGTTCTAAGAAGTCTAACCACTGTAACATATTGAAATATGACATCTAGGAATAATGATGTGTCAAATAACTTCCTACCAGTTACCTGGCATGCAGTGATCTCCTGTCTTTGTGATAAGAGTGATAACTAATTGCCATTCATATATAGTAAATCACACCGACCCTGACTTCCTCACACAAGGAAAATCGTATTCTTCTCACTTTCCTTACCAAACATCAACTGCCCTCTGTCCCAGGAAAGAGTGAATAAAGTGATTTCCTGTTGTGGCATGTGTGTCCATATCAGTGCCACCTGCCACAGGATACATGTACTCTCCTGACGTTAAGGACCTTACACTCTCTCAAATGAGGTAATTTTACATGGAAAGTTAGTGTTCAATATGACATGTACTAAAAATGCACAATTATAATTTGCACACTTCTTATATGCACTTTTCTAAATTCTCATTTTCAAAACAAGAGCCCATGAAAGAAAAATAAAATAAAAACCCTATTAGGGATTTGGTGAACATTTGAAGCAGATTCCCAAGATTTTATTAAACATACAGGAAAAGTAAATTTTAGAAGATTGAGCATCTCTCTGAAGATTTTCCCCTCAATTTTAAAAGCCATCCCTTTTTACTGAATTTTTTGCATATTTCTACAAATAGTGTAAATTTTGTGATTTGGCATTTCTATCTCAAGATAAAATGAATATCCAACTGGACTGAAATCTTAAATTTCATTGGCCACCCTTTGAAGCATAAATCACTATAAGATTTTTAGAAAACAGACATTCTAAACATAAACATTAATAACTAAGGTCAGAGTTAAGTTTTAAAAGTATTCCAAAAGATTATCATACTAGTTGGATAAGCAAACAAATTCCTTAATTTTTTTAGACATTCACAAATAATTTCCTTCACACTGTGAGTTGCTTTCACGTTTCAACAAAAAACACTCTTATCAGACAAACTTTAATATGGTTAACAACATCTTGCTTTCATATTCTTATGTTATGAGCTGAATTCTTGTCTTACCCTCCTAATTTTTTTTCCTACCCCCTATTTATCCCTATTCCAAACCACTTTACTCTCTGCTTCCAGATTAACTTTTCTTGACTACTTCTGATTCAGTGGCTCATCCTCATGAGCTCTTCATTGTTTTCTAAATAATAAGTAAATATATCTCCTAGATATTCAGGAAATTGTACAACATAGATCTTAAGTACTTTTCTAACCTAACACTTAGTGTCCAATACACCCTTATAAGAGTCAGCGTTCTCTAGAGGAACAGAACCAGTAGAATATACAAGAATATAAAAGGTCATTTAGTAGATTGTCTTACATGATTGGAGTCTGGATAATCCAACAATTGCCATCTGCACACTGGAGAGCCAAAGAACCCAGTAGCCACTCTGTATGAAAAGCTAGAAAGCCTCAGAATAGCAGTCCTAGTATGAGGCTGAAGGCCCAGATACTCCCTGTAGATTTGTTGGTGTGAGTCTGCATTGAAAGACTGGCAAAACTATAATCTGATGTCCTTATGAGATGGCAGAAATAATAGAGGTACTCACTTGCTGGCTGTCTTCCTCCTTCTTCCAACTTTGTTCCTCTGAGGCCCCCACCGTAGTGGATGGTTCTGCCCACATTGAGAGCAGGTCTTTCCCCCTCTGTTGCTGTCAGTCCCTACAAACACCCTTACAGATACACCTAGAAGTGTGCTTTACTAACCTCTTTGGCATCTCTCAATCCAAACGAGTTAACAATAAAGATTAACCATCACGACCCCCATATATTTTCCCTGCATTCTTGCATCATTATATCCTCTTTACCAGAAATTGTCCCTTTCCTCTTATTCTGAAACAATCTTCCATGGATTTTGTCCTTTAAGACATGTTTCAGGTATCACTTTTTCCAAAAAGCTTTTCCTCAGGTTTCTGCTTTGGAATTTTTGTAGCTCTTTCCTGCTCTCAAAGTAAAATAGTATAGCATAATGGTTTAAGAAGTCAGTCTTAACTGACAGCTTTAGTTTAAGTGTCAGTTCTACTGCTTACCTTCTACATGGTCTTGTCAAAATTTCATAACTTCTCAGTGTGTCGTGGTTTTTTTTTTTAATCTCCAAAATAGAAATGCTGATAAGCTACCTCATAAATTAAGTTTAAAGTAGTTAGAGTAGTATCTGGACCCATTATAAGTTTACATGGTATTTACTGTATTCTCTCATGACTCCTATCTTATTCCAACGTGTATTAGATTGAACTGTATGAATTGCCCATACTCACCTAGTATTCATATGAATTGCCCATACTCATGTCTAGTATGGATCATAAAATTATGGCTTCATTTGGTTTAACCTGAGGCAACCAGACTTTTGTGTGATTTCTATCCTCCCTTGATTAAATGCGTCATCCTTAAAGTTAGGAACTATACATTGCAAATCCTTGTATTCTATAGTAATTGGTAAGTACCTGGAATGTGCTGAGTGTTTAATAAATGGTTGTTTGATTTTTGACATGTGCAAAAATGCAAAAATAATAGAAACCAGGCTTCTTTCAATATACTATGTACTCTTTTTGCTACTGCAGAGCTTCCTCCATGCTTTTCAGCAGTTGCTTATGAAAGGAGAGGGATAAAGATATACAAGAGTAGAAATTTCTCTTGTCCTTGCTGAATGTAAGTACTTATGATCTTGTCAAAAAGTCTCCCATTGAACCTTATCTTCTAGTCATGGACTTAGTGTCAAAGTCTGTTATTGGGGTGCATTGCAGAATATCGCTCTGGCATCATTGGTATATCCTGTTGGCTCTTCAGCTTCTAAGGGAATAGTAAGTTGTTCTACTCCTACTCCTACTCATCACTGCCCCCCACAAGAGCTAAACCATAAAAGAGAATTTGAGTATTCTTTTTTATCAGATATTTTCAAAATTAAGGATTTATTAGCTGACAACACAGCTAGAAGAAGCACAATGCAAGGAAGTATGGCATTGTCCAGATGGTATCCTGGAGTGAATTATGCAGCATTTCTTTGTTACAAAGAACTTGAGCTTTGGACGTGCATTGCAGAGCAGCACTAACATTGGGTTCTGACATTGAAACTGACTTTGAATTCTTGACAGTCTACTTGTTTATAAAGAACTCAGTAAATGATTTAGTAAGTAAACACAGATTCTCATGATCCTTTTTAAGGAAATGGTGTTTACATTGGCTCTCTCTTGCACCTAAATGAGTAGTAAGCCCTTCCTGAGTCACATGCAGCACTAATCTCCACATGATGTTAAACATTCTAGGGATGGTATTCATCCCCTTTCCTTGCTTCTCAGAAAGAAGAGGTAGTGGTCAGGTAGAATTATACACTTTCTATAAGGAGCAATGGAGGTACACAGAAGACAGTTTAACATATCAACGAGAGAGGAAAGAAGATATTATCAGTGCAATGCTCTGTCATCTGTTCTTAGATGAGCAAAAGTGTAGATAATGCTTAGTGATGATTCAAACAGCCCCTTATCTCAAATATGGACTTTGCAATGACTGTTTTCCAGCCTGAAATACCTGGATATATGTTCATGCTTTATTATATACTGCCTGGCTTTCACATGGAAGGATTCTTTGTAAGATAAACATTAGGTCTTAACTTTTTTATGTTCCTTCAACTCCCAGCAGTCTGCTGAGCCATAATCAGTGGAAAGTAGATATTTACCACTTATTTACAAGAGACCTAATCCTCTCTGT